GCATTATAAAACTAGAAATCAGGCCAGGTGTGGTGGCTGACACCTCTAATCCCAGCACTTTGTGAAGCCAAGGTGGTCAGGTTGCTTGAACCCAAGAGTTTGAGACCAGCCTGGGCAACACAATGAAAGCCATCTCTACTAAAAATACAAAAAAAAAAGAATTTACCCAGGCACAGTGGCACATGCCTGTAGTCCCAGCTACTTGGGAGGCCGAGGTGAGGTGAAAGGGTTACTTGAGCCCAGGAGGCAGAGGTTACAGTGAGCCAAGATCACACCTCCACACTTGAGCCTGGGACACAAAGCAAGATCTTGTCTCAAAGAAAAAAACAAAAGAAAAGTAACTAGAAATCAACAACAAGAAAAACTGATGACTTCACAAATCATGGAAACAACATGCTCCTAACAACCAATTTATGCACATACAACAGCTAACTGGTTTTTTAAGATGTCAAGAACATACATTGGGAAAAAAGAGTCTCTTCAATAAATGGTAGTAGGAAAACTGGATATTCACATGTGGAAGAATGAAATTAGACCCCTCCCTCTCACCATATACAAAAATCAACTCAAAATAGATTAAAGATTTAAAATGTAAAACTTGAAACTATGCAATTACTAGAAGAAAACAAAAGGAAAATTATTCTCAACACTGAGCCGAGCAAGGATTTTAAAAATAAGACCTCAAAACCACAGACAAAAATAAGTAAGATTACAACTAAAAACGTTTGCACCTTAAAGAAAACTATTAACAGAGTAAAAACAGCTGCATAATGGGAGAAAATATTTGCAATCTATACATGTGACAAAGGGATAAAATCCAAAATATAAAAGAAACTTCACGCAACAGCAAAAATAACTTGATTTGTTATTGTTTTATTTTTATTTTTTAAAAGATGGGGTTTCACCATGATGGCCAGGCTGGTCTTGAACACTTGACCTCAGGTGATCCACCCACCTCAGCCTCCCAAAGTGCTAGGATTATAGGTGTGAGCCACCATGCCCGGCAACTTGATTTTTTTAAATGGGCAAAAGACCTTAATTGACATGTCTCAAAAGAAGACATACAAATGACCAACAGGTACATTTAAAAAAATGCTTAACATCACTAATCTTCAGGGAAATACAAATCAAAACCACAGTGAGATATACCTCACTCCAGTTAAAATGGCTATTGCCAAAATGACAAAAGAAAATAAGTATTGACACAGATATGGAGAAAAGGGAACACTTACACATTGTTGGTATGATTGTAAACTAGTACAGTCATTATGGAAAACAGCATGGAAGTTCCTAAACAATTACAAATAGAATTTCATATGATCCAGCAATCCCACTACTGGGTATGTATCCAAAGGAAATAAAATCAGTATGTTGAAATCTGCGCTCCCATGTTTATTTCAGCACTGCTCATAATGGGCAAGATATGGAATCAACCTAAGCAGACAATGGATGAATAAAGAAAATGTGATATATAAACATAATGGAATAATAGCCATAAAAAAAAATAAAGTCCTGTGAATTGTGAATGGATAAACCTGGAGGACATCATGTCAAGTGAAATAAACCAGACAGAGAAAGACAAATACCACATGATGTCACTCACATGCAGAATATTTTTCTATTATAAAAAAGTTGATACAGATAAGGCAGAGATTAGAATAGTGGTTACCAGAGTCTGGGAAGAGCAGGGGAGAAGGAAGGATGGAGAGAGGTTAGTCACCAGATACCAAGGCATAATTAGAAGAATAAATTCTGGTGTTTTGTTGCATAGTAGGGTGACCATGGTTAGCAGTAAGATAGTGCATATTACAAAATAACTAGAAGAGGCTTTTGAATGTTTTAACCCACAAGGAAATGAATATGTGAGGTGAAGGATATACTACTTTGACTGGATAATTGTACAACATAAATATCAAAACATCAAGTAGTATCTCATAAATATGTACAATTACAATGTGTCAATTAAATTTTTTAAACAATTAAAAAGTTATTAGACCAGCTGTTGGATCTGGTTGAGTTAATGTGCTTAAGAAGCACATGCATAATATTATACCACACATTTGATTTAAAATATTTTTGACTTAAAAAAATAATTCCCAAAAAGTGCTGATACTGTTGTGCCTCCCAACTTGACTTATAGCCTGTTTTTGAAAGCCTCACTTCTACAGGGAAGGGTAACACATCCGTTATTCCAAGTCACCCCTGAACCCAATAAAATGAACTACAATTACTCTGGTTATGCTCATTTACCCTGCCAACAAGACCATCAATTTGTCCCAGTTTTGGCAGTCACAGCCTTCGTAAAATACATTAATGTCTTTGCTCATTACTCAAGATGGAAAATTAGAAAAAGATCACATGGTATTTTATTTCATCAGTGAAAACAATTAAGGCAATATGAGGTTTAAAAACTAAGTAGCCTTTCTGGGGCACAGTGGCTCATGCCTATTATCCCAGTACTTTGGGAGGCTGAGGCGGGTGGATCATGACGTCAAGAGATCAAGTCCATCCTGGCCAATATGGTGAAGCCCCGCCTCTACTAAAAATACAAAAACTAGCTGGGCATGGTGACACGTGCCTGTAGTTCCAGCTACTTGGGAGGCTGAGGCAGGAAATCACTTGAACCTGGGAGGCAGAGGTTGCAGTGAACAGAGATCATGCCACTGCACTCCAGCCTGCCAACAGAGCAAGACACTGTCTCCCCACCTCCAAAACAAAACAACCAGCTAAGCAGTCTTCAAACGTATGTATGTTCTAATAACGTCCAGTGACCTCCCCTACCTACCCTCATCCTTTTATGAGACAGCCAGACATGGACATGCTCTCCCCCGACCACACCCTACCATATCGTGTCCTCCCAAGTACAGTAACTTTGATGTAGCTCCTCTTCCATTTCATCTTTTACCACTCACATCTATGTTTATTCAACAACATTAAGTATTTCTCACGTTTAAATATATCATCTCTTAATATCTTCCTGTTTCCCAGTGCCTTTTTTTTTTTTTTTTTTTTTTTTTTTTGAGATGGAGTTTTGCTGGTTTCCAGGGCTGGAGTGCAATGGCAGGAACTCCGCTCACTACAATCTCCGCGTCCTGGGTTCAAGCAATTCACCTGCCTCAGCCTCCCAAGTAGCTAGGATTAAAGACACAAGCCACCATGCTTGCCTATATTTTATCTAAATAAAACATCTCTTGGTTTATTCTATAAATAGAAGTACTTACTAAGGCACTAGGTTTCTGTGCCTTCAATTTTAGAGGCCCAAAGTGGTTTGAATACCAGGTATTAATTACAAGGTACACCTGTATCTCTTTTTGTAATTAACAGTAAAGGAAAGAAAAGGTATACCTGTATTTCTTTTTGTAATTAATAATAAAGGAAAAGAAAACCAAATGGTTTTAGGGCATAATTAAATATAAAGAATCGGTACTTACAACCTTTAAAGTTACAAATCTGTCAAGATGTATTTCAGAATTCTACTGCCAAGAGTGCTAATTAAACCTATTTTTCTCAAGCACCACTCAATATAAAACAGTGTTTCTTTTCTCATGTCATTTTTTTTGTACACAAATACTGCAACATTGGTTTGTATGACCTCTTGTTGCACAATGTCTCATTTTAATTCTATAGTATTTCAGCAGCATTGTAGGCTAAATTGGCTCTTTGGGCTAATCCAAACTGTAATTATAAACTTCTATACTGCATAACTCAAATTGCCTGAAAGACAAATCATTCTATCTATATCCCCAGCTTTTAATTTAAAACATTCAAGAAAATACTTCATCTTGGTTTTTAAGACACCTGAAAACATTTTAATTAAGGGCAAAGACCATTTTCATGAAGTGAGCAAGCATGGCACACGCAGCACAGGCAGAATTCACAATCGCAGCCAGTGCTGGGGGCCCTGGTAGTTGGTTTCATAGACTTTTGAGGAAGAAACTTTGAGACAGTGACTCTTTCTATTCTGTAACATAAATAGCACACTGTGTCTTGTTTTCCAACAGAAATTTTTTTAAATTTCCTAAATTTGTATTCAGCTAAAAGAAGTTGAATATCAAATTCCAAGGTTTCCCACGTCATCTCCTCGCAAGTAGATAACCTTGATATAGTAGTTCCTCACATCTAAGCTCACCACTCACATCTAAGTTAATTCAATACTGGGGAGTATTTCTAGAGTTTAGACTTGAAAATAAGACCATATTGTAAGATGGTCTTTATAAGATAACTGTAAGTCTATAAGACTATTTGACTAAGACGTGAAAATAGATTCGAAGCATTTGTTATAAACTACAGCATTATAACTTTAGGTAACTAAAATTTTAAGTGAATAAAAGGCAAATGTATGCAAACCGCTTGATGTAACTAACCATTGCAAAACTGTGATCCAGTATTCTAGGGTCAATATCAAAAATCAAAAGTTTTGAGACTGAACCTGAAGAAGTCTTAATTCTAGACAATGGCAAGGAAGGTGAGGGGTAGAAAAAAATCCAGAATCACTCCCAACGCTCTGGGGTTACATTTTCAAGTCAGCAAAATGAGTGTTGGATTCAGAACTTATGTGTAGGCATATCTGTAAAATGTTTATAGTTGCAATGTAACATCAAAGTTGATGGAGTAAAACTTTTTCCACTTGGAGTGGCGGAGTAAATGATCTTATCACGTTTGTAAATTACCTCCCCTTTGGGGCTCCAGATTTTCTGCCGAGACGCTGAGCAAAGCTCTGTGTCACGTTTGCCCGGGGAAGGTCCGGGAGGCGGGAGAAAGCTCGGTGACAAGAGGACCTCTAGGGGTTCTGGGGGCGGGCGAGGGGCGTGAGTTCCCGGCTGGGAAGCTAGAGGCGGCGACCTGGGGACTTGGGGACTCGGGAACCTGTCCCGACGGCGTGGAGAGCGGGGGAGGGGAGGAGAGAGAAGGGTGGAGTGAGAGCGCGCGGGTGCCGGCCCCGGGCCGGGGAGAGGGAGGAAGCGCCGAGGGAGGCGAAGGCGCTGAGGCCCTGCACTCACCCGCCGGGCGCTCGGGCAAAATGGGCCGCCACCGCAGGGCTCGCTCGCTCAGCACCACGTCACAGCTGCCCCTCCTGATCTCGAAGATGCCCCGGAGCAGAATCCGCTCCGCCGCAGCCTCCGTCTGCTGCTGGGACGTTAACGGCGCCGAAGGCACAGCGGCAGCCTCCGGGGGCGCCTCTTCCTCCCGGCCGCCCTCCAGGGCACTCACCCTGCTCCTGCGCCTCCTCCGTGGCATGGCGGAGCGGCAGGCTGGGCCTGAGCCAGTGGGCCAGGGAGGCCTATGGAGAAGTAGATGGAGGGCGCCACAACCCAGCTCCAGCCGCGTCCTGCGCTGCCACAGCAACGGCGCGCAGGGCCGGGACCCAGGAGGGAGGCGGGGCGGGCAGGCGGGGCCGCGCCAGAGCCAGTCCAGCACCCTGACCTGCCAGCCTCGCCGCTTCGACACTCACCACAAAGAGGCCCAGCTGGAGGGAGAATAAGAGGCTCCCTCGCCCAGCTTCCGCACTTACCGTAACCCACAGTTAAACCAGCGCACCTCAAATTTTCACTTGCAAACCATCCGTTGGGCATCTTGTTCAAATGCAGATCCCTGTTAAATAGGTGTGGGGCTGGCCCCCAAATACCACAAATGTAAGAAACTACTAGGTGATGGCTCTCGCTGGCCGCGTAACACACTTGCAAGGGTGGAAGCTTCCGTTTCTCCACCTCCTTTCCAGAAGGTTCCCAGGAGAGCAGAGTAGGTGCTTTACAACCCTGTTTCAGAATACTAGCGCACCTTCAAAACCCCTGAAGGGAAGCTAGAGATAGGCCCTGGTTTGCATAGACAAATTTGCATCTGACAAATTCAATATTAAAGGTTAAGTGCCTCCATGTGTAAGCATTTAGAATCCTACTTTCCCCCAAGGTATCTCCTCTGCAGTCTTGTCTTTGCGGGATCTTGCACTCCCTTGAGGGAGATGGCAAGCAGCCAGGGCTTCTCCTCCACGCACTGAAGTAAAGAAGTGTCACCTGGAAAAGGAGTAGAGCCCTGGGAGGTTCATCCTTTTCTCCTGACAATCGAGATTTCTAAAATCAGTTGCAGGTTATTTGGAAAACACAGAGAGTCTGGAGGCTAGTGATTCTCCATGGCTGCACATTAGAGTTACCTGGGGAGCTTTTGAAAACCCAGATGTCCAGGCCACACTTAAGATAATTAAGCTGGAATCTCTGGAGGTGAGACCCAGACTTCCGGATATTTTAGAGTTCCCAGGTAATTCCAATACTCGCTCAGCCAAGGCTGATAATGGCTGCTCTAAGCAGAGTGATAACACTGGGAGCTGAGTGCTTGTAATGGGGAAGCAGCCAGGAAGAAAGTGAGTCCCTGGGAAGAAGAGCGGAGTGGGAGGTAAAGCAGAAGGCTTTTTAAAAATAAATAAATAAATAAAACAAGGTCATTATCATATTGAAAACAAGTTAGGAGTAGGGGAGTTGCAGAGGAGATTAAATTCATAGGGTTGTAGATCTAGTTCCAGCGTTCTACTGCCTAAACAGTTCCATCATAGAGGCAGCAAACTCTTATTCTGTCCTCATTCCTGGTCACACTACAAAGTCGCAGAAAAAGCCATTTATAGCAGGGGTTTCTCAAGGTTCTTAGCTCAGATGGTTTGTGGTCCTAACCAAATCCCCATCAAACATAAAGCGCTGTGCACCAGTTAAGCTAGGACTCTTATTGTTTAATGCTCTAACTGTTAGTACCCAAGCTTCCAGGAAAAGCAAGGAAGAGCTTCACTTTGATCTGACTGCAGTGAGCTGTTTCTTAGAGTGGAAGTGCAGCTGCTGCTAAACCTCATGCAGGCTTCAGGTAGCTCTGCTCAGCAGTCATTAGTGGGAAAAGGATGGTGCCCTTCGCAGAATGAGTTGCAGTTCTGGAGTCAGCATCTTGTATTCATAGCTGTTAGGCAATCAACACAATTAGAGCTCACTGGCATTTTAAAAGCTCACCCAGAGCCATGGCAAACAGGCCAAGCCAATGGCTACTCCTTAGGACCTTTGCAAAGGGGCAAGTTGCCATTTTTCAAGCTTCACTCAGGCCAGGAAGTAAAAAACAGTGGCTCTGAATTGTCCTGAAGATGGAAGTAATAAGAGTTGTGTTTCTTTTCTTCTCCCCACCCCCCAACCCTTCAATAAGCTGTCTTTTCCTAGGGCTGTAAAGGCTGGAGTGCCCTAGGGCTCTGTCTTTAGGATCTATCCCCACACACTATCCCATGCTTTATGTACTATCCAGAGCTCCGCAAATGATGTCACCAGCTCCGATCACTCCCCTGAACTTCAGATATTATGTCCAACTGCCTACCTGACATCTCTACTTGACTATCCAATAAGCTTCTAAAATATCTAAAATCAGACTCGTGATTTTCCAACCCAAATCTGTTCCTCTCAGAATGTTTCAAATCAGTAGTGTTCTCAAAATCCTTGATATCATCCATGTCTCCTTTGTCTCATACCTTCAATCTACCAGCAAATCCTGACCATTCCATCTATCACATATAGTCTTTTCTGCCTGCTCTCATTCCAGTCTGCACGTCTGCACTTAGGTGGACAATTTCAGGCTCTGTTCTCCCAACCCATCTCTCTGCTTTCCCTTTCCCCTATGCTGGCACCTGTAGCCCAGAGCTGATTTTCCATTTTGGAGTTACACTGTGCCTTTAAAAAGTAACAAGAGCACATAACCCTGCTCACAACCTTTCAATGACTTCCCATTATTCTTGGAATAAAGTCAAAATGCTTAGCAAGGTGAGAGGTCCTTCATATTCTGGTCCTGGGCTATGTCTGCAGGATAACCTACTAACGTTTTCCTCTTGCTCACTCACACAAAGCCTTCTTGCCAGTCCTCAAACACTCTGAGAACAGTCCCTTCTCAGAGCATTTGCTTTTGCTGTGCCCTCTGACAGGACTGCTTTTCCCCCCACCAGATGGTTCATTCCTTTACTTTGCTCATTTTTCTCTTTAAAGGCCACCGCCTCAAAGAGGCAATTCTTAAGCACCCTCCATAATTCACCATCCTGTAAACCTGTGTATTCATTTCCTACTGCTGCTGTATTCAATTACCAAATCCACAAATTTAGTGGCTTGAAACAAAATAAATGTATTATTTTACATTTCTGGAGTTCAGAAATCCAAAATCAGGTTCACAGGACTGAAAGTGCCAGCAGGCCTGTATCCTTCTATAGGCTCTAAAAGAAAATATATCTCTTTTCCAGCTTCTAGAGCAGCGGTTCCCAACCTTTTTGGCACCAAGGACTGATTTTATGGAAGACAGTTTTTCCATGGATGGAGGCAGGATTGAGGGATGGGCATTTTGAAGGCATTAGAGTCTCATGAGGAGCACAGACCTAGATCTCTGCATATGCAGTTCACAGTTAGGGTTCAGGCTCCTGTGAGAATCTGATACTGCCACTGACCTGAAAGGAAACTGGGCTCAGGTGATAATGCTTACTTGGCCATCACTTGCCACGCACCTCCTGCTTGGGTGGCCTGATTGCTAACAGGCCACAGACAGGTACTGCTCCATGCCACAGGGATTGGGGACCCCTGTTCTAGAGGCCACCTGTGGATTTTGTTGTGTTTGTTTTGGTTCATGTTCCTTTTTTCCATCTTTAAAGCCAGCAATCTAACATCTGTCCTCTTCGCTTCTATCCTGAAATCTTCTCTTTTCCTCTGTCTTTGACCTTTGTCCCTTCATCTTACAAGAACTCTTATAATTACATTGGGCCTGCCCAGAGAATTCTTTATTATATTTGCAAAGTCTCTTTTGCTATGGAAGGTAACATATTCACAGGTTCTGGGGATTGAAACATAGACATCTTCAGGCTGCCATTAATGTCTCTACCATAACCTGCTTTATTATTCTTTACAGCACTTATTATTAATTCTTATTACATACTTCCTTATTATCTAGCTTCCCCACTGAGTTAGTGCACTTAATAACAGTACTGAAATATAGAGAACACTCAGTAAATTTTAAATTGTTGTTAGAATATAAGCTCCTTGAGGACAGAGAATTTATTTCATTCACCATTGAATTTCCAGTATCTATCACAGTTCCTAGTACACAGTAAGTGCTCAATTAATATCTGAAAGAAGTAATGAATTTCTTCAACATTTGTCTGTAACAATGATACAAAGATACCCCTTTTTTTTTTAACTTTAGTTTCTGAAGATCAATTCTCTCATTAGTGATTCATATATACATTTTACTAATGCATGAAAATTGCTTTCAAAAAAACTTTCAGAAAGCTTCCTGCACATTGCTTTCTCTCCTTTGGCTGAAGCTTGGGTATTTGATTCCAGAGCATTAAATAGTACAAGTCCTAGTTTAAAAGGCACTTTGTTGCTTTAAGTTTGGAAGGGATTTAACTAGATCTGGAAATACTGTCTCTATCCCTGGTTCTTAAAAATCCAAGTCTGAGTAGAAGACCATAAAAAACATTCCGCTATTGTTAACATTGTTTTCAGGAGGCCTTTAAGTATGTTCTGAAAACAAATACCCAAATTTTCAAAAGAAGGACAGCAAATCCCAAGGTTAGACTCCAGAAGTTTGGGACACCTTCTCAGGACCACAGATGGAGGCAGGAAAATTCACAGCTGACAGAGACATTCAGACCCACTGCAAAGAGGGCAACAGACAAGGACGTCTAATTCCAGTCAGGACCAGCTGCCATGGATCAGAATTTCAACCAGTGGGTAATCCTATGGTAGTCCATTTGATCTCCCTAAGTCTCTGCTGAATTAGAAGTTTGAAGTTTATGTGACAAATGATTGAGGGCTTTTGTTATAAAAATTATCATTTACATAGTTTTTTCTTAAACTCCAGTTTATAGAATTTTTTTTTAGGAACTTCTCACTGCAGGTGGAATAAAATCCAAGCTTCTATTATGACCTATGTTGACCAATTCCTGCCCACCTGCTCAAACCCTCTCTCTTCTATCATTTTTCTTCTATTATTAGTATGTGTCCTACCATACCTGGCCTTCATTCTACTCTTCAGATAAGCCAAGTTCATTCTCATTCAGGGCCTTTGCTGTTGTTGTCTACTCTTTTCACCATGGAGCAGTTGTCACCATGGTACACCTTCACATGGTGCTCAGGCCAACTTCATGTTACCTCAAAAGGTCTTCCCTGTCCAGCCATTCCAAAGTTAACACCTATTCAATATTATTTTCCCCATTGCACTTTATACTGTGTAAAAGTATGTCGTTAATTTCTATGTTTACTTATTTCAATTTCCTCTCTTATATCAGATTGGTACCTCAATGAGTCCAGTGATTGAATCTGCTTATATATGGCTCTACCTCTTGTGCCTTAAACAGTGTATTTATATAACAGATGCTCAATAAATGTGTTAAATGCATGAATGAGTAAACTTTTTAAATTGAATCCCTTTATAAATTTCAAATATTATTTAACATATGTCTCATTGGTGAGAATGAAAGATTCATAACAGCAGATTGTATTTACTTTCTCTATATCAACATATAT